TTTAAACTTCACATTAAGAAATTAAAAATATTATTAAAATATAAATATTTATACATTTAATGCTCAGCAAGAAAATATTATGATATTCAGTTTTTCAATTATAATATATATATATTTATTGATTATTATTAGAATTACTTTTAATTGATATTTAAAACTTAGATTTAATCTTATAAGATAATACTCTTTTCTTAAATCTATTACAAATATCTATTAACATAATAAAATTTGAGCAGAAAAAAACACTAATTTTCAAAATTAAACACTTGTAACTAACCTCCTTTCTTATTCTTCAGCTATTTACAAATTTTCTTTAGAGGAATGAGAAATCATATTCTCCTTATTCATAATTTAATTCTAATTTTTTCTTATTTTTATATATAAATAAAAGATAAATAACATTATAGATGCAAGTAAATTTTTTCAAGAGAACTATTGTCTATTAAAATCCTTAATGTATCACAAACTTTATAATTATAATTAAATTATATTAAATTAAAAAAAAACAAAATCAAAATACAATAAAAAAATTCAGAAGAAATGAAAGGGTTAAACAGGTTTTATATAATTATTACAATGATGAATTTAATCTATTTTAGGATTGAACTAAACTATGATTTAAGTTGATGAAAAATTTCATTAGAGATTGTTAGGATAATTATAGAATACTTGTAAAAATAGGAATAAATGAGGATCAAGAATTTAGATATTTATTTGAAAAGTGTTAAGACCAAAAATATAAATTACATTATATTATTCAATTGAACGATTGTGAAAAGTAAGTTTTTATTTATTAACCTAAAATCAGAATAATTAAAAAAAATTAATATGAAAAAAGGTATTGAATATGATGGGAAATATTAATATATAAGAATAAAGATAAGACTTTTGGATTTTTAATAAATTTTAATTATGATATTCAATAAAATATTATAAATTAGGGAAAAAAGTTTTTATATTTTCTAATTGATCAGATTTAAGCTACTCTTTAGTAAGAAAAGCTGAAGCTATTATTTAGTTTTTCCAATTACAAAAGGTATATACAAAGATAAACGAAATATAAAAATAAATGAACGATTTTTATTATTGCAAAAATTTGATGGCCGAAGAGAAAGGGATGTGATAGGAATTCTGAAGGAGAGTCTAAGAGAGTCAGATTACTATCGTCATGTTAGTATAGTCTTTAAATATATTACTCATAGCATATGAGGTTGACTCTATATAGCCACTAATTCAGTTTCCTTCGTTTGTATGAGATTTTTGGTGTAATAGTGCTACCCGACATCTTAAATGGGAGAAGAAACCATAGAAAAAAAGATAAAATGGCTCTTTTGAATGTGGGGCAGGCTTTACAATAGATATAATACAATTTTTGCATTTATAAACCTTATTGATAGTATTTCATATCTAGGAGTAGTTTATCAGCAACATCATTATTTGCTTTTGTTTTTTATCTGGGAAAATTATCAAATGAATAAATAATGATTTTTCACAAAAGTCATTTTATTTATTAATTTTACTTTTGCCAAATTATGTTGAGAATTATCAATATCTTAAGATTCACTGGTCTAACATCCAACTACTAGAGCAAATTACCTTCAAAATTAATGAATTTCTTACTATTGTAAAATGTTTGATAGGCCTAATTTAGTGAAGATATTGCTTTATATGATTTATTCATTATATATAATAATAATAATAATAATAATAATAATAATAATAATAATAATAATAATAATAATAATAGAGATGTAAGAGAAAAATAGTTAAAGTTGATTAAAGAAAATGCTCAATTAAAAGAAGAAAACTAAAAATTGGTATTGTAGTCCCTGATGTATGAAATTTTTAATGAAGAATTAGAAAAGAAGCTATTGCTTTAGAAGTAAGCAAAGAGAAAGAATAATGGATGATCGAAGAGTATGGATAGTAATTAAGAAAATAGGGTATGAAAACTAAAACCTAAGAGTTAAAATCTCTTAAGAATAAGGAAATTAATATTTTTAATAATAGATTAGTAATTACTAAGATGTTAAATAATCGATATATAGAGACATGATTAATGAATGAAAGAAATTGAATGAAGTGTAAAGGATGTACAAAGGAAGAGTGGTTTCTATGTTGTTAGAAAGAAATGCTGGATAAGCTTAAGCAATTAAGGATTTGCAAAATAGTGCTAACCTGTTGTAGATTGATGCCTCATAAGAATTAATAGTAGTTAAAACTTTGTGGGAATATTTGAAGTCAAGATAAGGAATAAATTCTTAGAGATGTGATAGAAATGAATGTTTTTTGATTCAGATTTCTTTTATCTGAACCTTATAAAAATTCATTTAGAAGAAGTATTTCTTATAAGTATTATCAATTCCATTAAGTATACCTAACTCTTCCCTAAAGATAATAAGTATCTCCCATTTATGTAGAGTTTTATGTTAGGGAATATTGGGGTATATAAGTCATTATAAACTCATAACTGAGGTTGATATATGATAGAATATCATAAGAAGATTAATTCACAAATAAGGCGATGACTTTAGATAGAGAGTTCTTTAAATTATGTAATACAATTACGATGATTATGAGAGTTGTTCAGTTGCTGTAAGAATTGTATGTTTTTTCCAGTGAGCCATCAGTAGGAATATGTCTTATATTATTACTTTGAAAAATAAGAAATGTGAGAATTTTAATAAAAATGAAGGATAAGAAAAAAAAATTTAGATTGACTTATCAATAAAAATTTAATTTAATGTATTTTCTATTTCGATTCCACTTAGATGTATGTTTTTTAATTTAGAGATTATTTAAATCCACTATTCCATTTTCTGCAAAAATGGTGATATTCATTCAGATAGATCTTGTTATCCTATCTATTGGTAATTATCTACATAATGCATTTAGAAATTTTTAATTATTATTATGATTTTACTTCTTCGTATCGATATTTTAGATTTATCTTGAATAAAATTTAAAAAAATTACTCTTTAATCTTACCAAATCAAGGATTAGTCATTTGTAAATAACATTTAAGTAGATTATTTAAAAAGATTATTCACAAATGTAATTAAAGAAGTCCACAAAAATTTATTGAGCTAAACTAATTAATTTTAAAATAGCAAAAGATATTAATCAAAGTCATTTGGATGAACTAAGAAGAAGCAAACAATATATTTCAAGAAAAGAATATAATTATAAAATATTCAAACAATATATATATATATTTTTAAGACAATAGAAAAGAGTAAAATTGAACAAGAACAAGAACTTTAAACCAAATGGATGAAAATTTATTTCTATTTTAAATTTAGATATTTAAGCATTTATATTAACTACATAATAAACAATATATTTCTTCACTGATGATAAAAATGGAATGTCCTCTAAGCAAAATTACATGAATATGATTTATTTAATATTACATATGATGATTTCATTTATATAAATATTTAAAATGTAATAATAGACTGATTCCTTTCTTCTAAGAACCTTAACTCTGAACCAATTGTAATCAATAATAATCAAAATGAAAGTATATTTTGATTTATTGATTACAAACTAAGGAATCAAGTAGAAATAGGAGAGCTGATTATTTCTAATAATAGATTTCCTCCATAATTGCTATTAATTGATTTCATATTAAGATATGTATTTAAGTGCGTCAAAACAATTAAATAAATTATGATCAAAGTTTGAGCTTAAATTAAGATGATGCTTTTTATTGAATAAATTTTGTAAACTTCAGTA